AGCTTCACCGCTGAGCCGTGTAGTGTGTTTTATTTGCTACACACAAGTAGGCAGCATGAATGATTGGCTGATTCCTGGCAGCAGAAGGGGGCGAGACAGTCGTGTTAGATTATTGAATGAAATAAATAATTATGTTGTTATGAGACATATTTTAAAGTCGCTTCCGCATTTTATTTAAACACTCCGTATTTCTCTACAATTATGTATGGAATATTATTTATAAATAAAAATGTTTGAAATGTTTTAAATTATCACGATTACCAAATCAATACTTTAGTCCGAAAGGGGCTGCAGACCTGGACGGATTAGGGTGTTACAAAACTTATTTACTCCGTATTGTAAAAATCTTACCTGAACGGTACGCGCTTTTTCCCTGAACGGGTCCGAATTGAGATCCGTTTGCGTTTCTAGAATCAGACAGTCAAAACGAATTTAATGATATGATCAAATAATTTTTCTAAGAACTTTTGAATTTCCCAACTCCGATTTGAAACAGTAATTAATTAATTAAATTAATCAATTCTATTAGACCGGGTTGCAGGGCGTTACAATTATCCACCCCTTAAGAAAATTTCGTCCTCGTAATTTACCTGATCACTGGTCACTGAAAAGATGTGGATAACGAGTGCGCATGGATTCCTCGGTTTCCCATGTTGCCTCCTCGACAGTGTGACTTCTCCACAGAACCTTGACTAGCGGAATGGTTTTGTTCCTCAACTGACGGACCTCACGAGCTAGAATCTCAACCAGCTCCTCCTCATACGTAAGATTCTCATCAAGTGTGACCGTATCAGCTGGAATCACATGAGAAGGGTCCGACCGGTACCTCCGGAGCATGGACACGTGGAACACATCGTGGATCTTGCTCAACTCTGATGGTAACTCGAGCCTGTAAGCTACAGGTCCCACCCGTTCAATAACTGGGTACGGGCCTATAAACCTCGGACTCAATTTCCCCTTCTTGCCAAAACATAGGACGTTCTTCCAAGGTGAGACCTTCAAGAAGACCCTATCTCCGACTGCGTACTCGATGTCACGCCTCTTAAGGTCGGCGTAGGACTTCTGTCGGTCCGAAGCCGCCTTAAGTCGGTCCTTAATCACCTGGACCCTCTCCTCGGTCTCACGAACCAAATCTGGCCCTTCCAACCTCCTCTCGCTGAGCTCTGTCCAGCAGGTAGGAGTACGACAGGGTCTACCGTACAGAGCCTCATACGGTGCCATACCAATGCTAGCCTGGTGACTATTGTTGTATGCAAACTCCATGAGTGGCAGGTATTGCTCCCAACCGTCCCCGAAGTCGATTGCACACGCACGCATCATATCCTCGAGAACCTGAATCACCCTCTCCGACTGACCGTCCGTCTGAGGGTGAAACGCCGTACTAAAGTGGAGATCGGAGCCCAATGCCCTTTGTAGACTCTTCCAAAACTGTGATGTGAATCGAGGGTCACGATCCGAAATGATAGATGACGGTACTCCATGTAGCCTGATGATCTCGCGGATGTATAACTCCGCTAATCGCTGGAGTGAGAAGTCACGACGAATGGGGAGAAAATGTGCTGACTTGGTCAACTGATCAACGATGACCCAAACTGTGTCGTGCTTACGTGGTGACCATGGCAGTCCCATGACGAAATCCATCGTAATGCGACCCCACTTCCACTCGGGGATGGTGATCTGCTGAAGCTATCCTGAAGGAACCTGGTGCTCGGCCTTGACCTGCTGACAAGTCAAACACCGCGACGTGAATTCAGTGATCTCCCGCTTCATCGCGGGCCACCAATAATGTCTCCTAAGGTCCTGGAACATCTTGTTACTACCCGGGTGCATGGTATACACAGTGTTGTGTGCTTCGCGAAGCAGGCGTTCTCTCACCTCCCCCGCTGGCACAACCATATGCTCCCGATAGTACAAGATACCATCCCGAACTGCAAAATCCGGCTTCTCTCCTCGAGAGACGAGCTCCACGGTCTCGATACAGAAATCATCACTGCTCTGGGCTGAGGCTATCTACTGCTGTAATGTAGGCTGGACGTGTAGCACAGCTAGAGTCTTACGACTAAGGGCATCGGCTACCACATTCGCCTTACCTGGGTGGTAAGCGATGTGACAATCATTGTCCTTAATCAACTCTAACAACCTCCTCTGTCAGAGATTCAGATCCTTCTGCGTCAACAGGTACTGAAGACTCTTATGGTCGGTGAAGATACGCTTGTCTCACCGTAGAGGTAATGCCTCCATATCTTCAAAGCAAGTACAATAGCTGCTAGCTCAAGGTCGTGCATCGGGTAATTACACTCATGTGGCTTCAACTGCCGAGACACATAAGCAACGACCTTGCCCTCGTGCATGAGAACACACCCCAAGCCGTTATGGGACGCGTCGCTGAAAACCGTATACTCCACTCCTGGAGTGGGCTGGACTAGAACTGGTGCCTGGGTCAGACACTCCTTCAGTCGCTCGAAACTCTGCTGACAAGCGTCAGTCCAAATGAACTTGACGTCGTTCCTCATCAGCTTGTGTAGTGGCGATGCTATTTTGTAGAAGTCCTTCACGAACCTACGATAGTAACCCGCTAGTCCGAGAAAACTCCTCACCTCACGTGCATTCCGCGGAGTCTTCCACTCCGTGACCGCTGCTATCTTGCACGGGTCTACCTTCACACCTTCAGCCGAGATGACATGGACGAGGAAGGTAACCTCGTGCAACCAGAACTCGCACTTGGACAGCTTGACATAAAGCTGTTGTTCCCGAAGAATGCTCAAAACGATACGCAGATGCTCGGCATGCTCCTCCTGTGTCTTGGAGTACACCAAGATGTCATCAATGAAGACCACAACAAACTGATCAAGATGCTTCCGAAACACACTGTTCATCAGATCCATGAACACTGCTGGTGCGTTAATCAAACTAGAGGGCATGACTGTGAACTCGTAATGACCGTATCTTTTGCGGAAAGCCGTCTTAGGAATGTCCTCCTTCTTGACGAGAATCTGATGGTACCCTGATCGGAGATCGATCTTAGAGAAGACTGTGGCTCCTCTCAGCTGGTCAAACAAATCGTCAATGCGGGGTAACGGATAGCAATTCATGATGGTAACTTTGTTTAACTGACGGTAATCAATGCACAACCGCATCGATCCGTCCTTCTTGCGGACGAACAGAACCGGTGCTTCCCAAGGAGACACACTAGGTCGGATGAAGGCCTTATCCAGAAACTCCTGCAGTTGAGCCTTCAGCTCCTTCATCTCCGTAGGCACCATGCGATAAGGTGTGATCGAAATCGTTCCTGTTCCTTGTACAAGATCAATGGAAAACTCTACCTCCCTAGGAGGTGGTAGACCAGGTAAGTCATCTAGAAACACATCAGGAAAGTCACATACCGTAGGGATGTCCCCCCTACTAGGCGCCTCCTAACAAGTGTCACGCACTGTGCACAAGAATGCTTCACACTTCTTGCGAATGAGTCGACGAGCATGAATGTAGGAAATGAATTCTAGAGCTTTCGGAAGAAGCTCACCATGGATCAATATGTCACTACCGTCTTCAGCTCTCAGTCGAACAGTATGAACTCCACAGTCAACAACGGCTTAGTTGGCGGTGAGCCAATCCATGCCTAGAATAACGTCCAACTCACGATGTGGAAGCTCAATGAGACTCGCAGGGAAGATCTTTCCCTGGACTACTAACGGGCAATCGTGATACACATGGGTGAGTCGCAGACTGTGTCCCAATGGGTTGGACACAATTACCGGGTTGTCTAGGTTTTCCCTCGGAATGTTAGGCATAACAGGCAAAGGCATACAAACATATGATAGAGTGGAACCTGGATCAATCAAAGCTGTAATAGATGTATCGAACAACGTAAACATACCCATGATGACGTCATGGGCTGGCTGCTCGGTACGCCCTCGAATCGCGTAAGTACGGGCCGGGGTCTTCCCCGCCTGAGCGCCAGATGCCTGCCGCTTAGGCTGGCTAGATGCTGCCGCCAACTTCTGACTCTGGGCGGGCTGCGCTGCTGGGGCTGGAGCGGCTGGTGCGGTTGAGAATGCCTCACCTGGATTCTTCGGACACTCTTTTCGGAAATGGCCGGCCTGGCCACACCCAAGGAACAGGCCAAGAGTGTACCAACACTCTCCTGGGTGCCTACGCCCACAAAGGTTGCAAATCGGGTTGCGAAACCCATCCCCGCTCATGCCCTGCTTCTGTACGGACGTAGATGACTGAGTTGGGGCTGACTTCACCTTCTTGCTCTGGTGAGAGCTGCTCGGCGCTGTAAAGGACCTCTTGCTGCTGGTCCCCGCCTTCTGGTGTGGAGGAGGACGAGATGGTGCCGTTGACGCTCCTAGCGTCTGCTCATACACAGCCTTCTTGATGAGGGCCGCATTCAAATCCAACGCATTCTTGTACAACGTGTTGATGTCACTCCGGGGAGCAATGATCAGATGGGTCGAAAGGTCAGGACGTAAACCCTCCACGAAGCGTTTGCATCGCTTCTCCACGGTCAGTATGAGGTCTTGCCAAAACCCCGCGAGCTCGTCAAACTTCTGACGATACTCAGGCAGTGTGAGTTCACCCTGGGTGAACTTCAAAAACTCTTCCCGCTTCGCCTCGACGAAGTGCTCAGGGATGTACTCTTCGTGGAAGAGTCGGTCAAATGTGGCCCACTGCACGGGCTCCAGGACGTCTGCTCCCACACGTTTCCACCAGTCGTAGGCGAAATCTTGAAGTAATGCAACTGCGAGGTCGCCACGCTGCTCCTGTGGAACCCTCAGGTTCCCCAACACTCGGATGGTTCGCTCAAACCACCGTTTGGCAATCATGGGGTCGGCGATCTGATCGCCCAAGAATTCCTCAGCTCCATTCTTCCGGAGCTTCTCGATGGTGACCACCGCCACTGGTGGCGGCGGTGGTGGCGGTGGTGGCACGTAAGCTCGAGCCATCTGCTGGAGGAAATTCATGAAGTTAGCCGCGAACTGCGGATGGACGATAGGGATGGCTTTCGATATAGGGCCCACGCCCGGGATCGCCTGCTCGGAGGCCTGCTGAGGTGTGATGTTCGACGCTTCAGTGTGCACGCTCACGTGCTCAGGCTCCCCCTCTGGGACCGCCTGTCCGTCATTGCCAACTGCTTGACTCATTCTCTAAAGGAATAACTTAAATCAGAACTAATTATAATATGACATACATGTGATCTAAATAACGGTGTACCTTTCCCTTGGAGTGATGCGATGGGAGATGCGGATGTGTACTTTTTGAAAATACCTTTTGAACAAGACGACAAGATATGTGTTTTTTTTTTCAAAAACCGACGGGCTTTGATACCAAATTGTAACACCCGCCTTCTGTGGACCCGGTTCACCCGCGACCCAACGGACCGGTAGGGTTACATGGACAGTCCGAGAACTATCCGTTACGAAAGAATTAATGATTATTTGATTATTTAATAAGAAAACGGTTGGGTTTTAATTAGAGGAATAAATGCCAGAGAGTTACTCCCAATCGTGTGTAATAAAAGTGTAGAGTAATTGCGGAAGTAATTAAATAAGTTCAGTACAAATTAAATAAAGACAAGGGTGGGTTCATGCCCAATTGATTAATGAAGTTATTGAAAGTATTTAAGAGTTCGTCCGTGCGCCGCCCATCTCCCCATCGTCACCGCTCTCCAGGGTTGGCACCTTCTCCGTCATGCCTACCTGCGTGTAGCAAAAACAACTACACGCTTAGCAAAAGCTGAGGAGTGAATCTAACAAAAGAACATGAAGTGATAACCCATATGGGTATACCCATATCAATACCTGTACTTAACGTACGGGAAACGTACACACGTTACTAGCTGTTTAGTTTTCACCTGTTAAAGCTATTTCGAATAACAAGGTGTAACACCCTAATCCGTCCAGGTCTGCAACTCCATTCGGACTAAAGCATTTAACTTGGTAATCGTAAAAATTTAAAACTTTTCAAACACACTTTATTAATCCCAATAATATTTTTCAATACATATACAATACGGAGTATTCAACAATATTGCGGAAGCGATTTTAATATTGACATATCATAAATTGTTTCAAAACTTGTCACATCCATCCCGACAATCTCGCCCCATCTACCGCCAGGATCACATTGTGCTTTCTGCTTACCTGCGTGTAGCAAATAAAACACACTACACGCTCAGCGGTAAAGCTGAGTAAGCATATCTAATGCGTCGAACATCCATATAAACTGAATCTAAATTCATAATCAAATCATTTGATATCATGCACACAATGTTCATTTCAGATATTCACAATTTTGGTATTATTCAGTTCATATCAACACATTTTATTCAATTCAGATATTAATCCAATAGTGCTCTTAAATTATTCTTAATCTAAGGGCAGATCATAACAACGCTCTTAGCTATTCTTAGTCTAAGGCAAGATCATAATAATGCTCTTAGCTATTCTTAGTCTAAGGCCAGATCATAATAATGCTCTTAGCTATTCTTAGTCTAAGGCCAAATCATAATTTCCATAATCACATTCTTAAAGGTAATTATTAATCAAACACTTAAACTATCATTAGTTTAAGGCAATTGATTTCGGACACTTAACTGTAGTCAGTTAAGGCAATCAGACACTTAAACTATCATTAGTTTAAGGCAAATGATTTCGGACACTTAACTGTAGTCAGTTAAGGCAACAACAATATAGCGATTGGTCAACAATGGATCAGGCATTCCCAATGAGTAATCCTCTAGTTTGGTCTACGAATCCCGTTTATGAATTTATATTTAATTCATCAACTATTTATGTTTTCATAAGTTCATTCTAAGAACTATTCTAGAGGTCTTCTAGATAGTCTTAACATTAATTAGCTAATAGGTATATCTTAAAGTTCTTCTAGATATCCTTAACAACATTATTCATCAATTCATACTCTTAGTTCAACAATCATTTCATCCAGAATATGCATCATCATTAATCCATAATATTCATAAAAATGAACAATCAATCAATCATCATAATAACTAATAACAATCAGCGGCCTAGCATCGAGTGTTAACACCCTAGCTTACCATCATGCATCACATAAGATCCCTTTTAGTTGTTAAAATACCATCTTTATTCCAAGAAATCATCCTTTTATTAATCATAATGGTTTGGTATCAAAATATAGGATTCCATAACTCAAAAATCATATTTTCTAAATAACAATTGATTAATATATGATAGGAAATACAACTATTAGCTATTAGCTTCATTTTCTTCAATAGTGTAGGGTGACAGTCTACTGTCACTTCTGATAATNAAGTTGATAATCGATTATCCATCGTCTTCTACCTCGAGCCAACTTGCGGAAATGTCACTTTTACTCACCAAACTTCAATTAAAGTATATAAAAATGTTCTCCAAGGTTCATGGATCATTTTAGCATCATTAATTCATAATTTTAACATCAATTTCATGGTTTATGATTCTTAGTTCTTCAAGCATGTCAAACACAAAACTCAACCAAACGACCGTTTATGAACGTAGAAACGATCTATACGAACATTCTAGTCACTAGATATATCTACGGGCTTACCTCGAAGCTTAATGGAGGTTTTGGAAATTTTCCGGCGAAACTTCCGGCGACGATTAGTCCCAACTCCGGCGACCTCTCACCTAATTGACGGCACCACTGCGTTCTCCTTACTTAGAGCAACAGAATAGGAAGAAGTTTTGTGAGAAATGGTGAAGAATTGAGTGAGTTGGGTTTTCTTATATAGAGTGGTGAGGGAGAAGAAGACAAGTCCTGTAGCTGTAGCTCTACGTAGGAAATGAAGCAGTGCGCTGGGAGGCGCCGTCTCCACAGTGTCCCTGATTGGGACCAATTTTGGTTCCAGTCGGGGTACACTTTTTGATCCAACTTTCTCCAAATTGAAATCCGTTCGCACCGTTGCGATCAGACAGTCGAATTCTATTCAACGATATACTTTTCATAATTATTTGTAATACTATTTCCGACATCATATTTTTGCGTGGTTGACTTTGATAGAGTAAAAATTGATTCAGTTGACCTTTATTCAAAAAGGTTCTCATATTTAACTCATATTAATTATTCTCATCATTTATTTCAATAAATCATTTTAATGTTTACATCATAATTAATTTCTTCATTTATTTTTGATTTGGGTCTGTACTCAGGTTTCCAATCAAGACCACACAAATAGTCAATAAATTGGATCTATCTCTATGAGATTTATCCTGATTATGATATGGGATATCAAAACATATTTTTATCGGCCCAAATTTGATTTATTTAAATAATTATCTATTAATAATTCTAAGGTATGTTTTGGGGCGTTACATTTCTACCCCCCTTAAAAGAATTTCGTCCTCGAAATTCTTCTTAGGTTCAACGTTCAACGTTTTGTAATGATCTCACTGATCATGACCATTTCATATTCATATGGTTATGTCCCCATCTTTCGAATACGTATTCTCAAGTCATTGATTTCACCAAACTCGTTCAATCTTCGAGTGATTAGCAATTTTCGATTAAGTAAGGTCTTCACTGATCCTTTCATGACAAAAGTTCCTTCATAGTGTGTAGTATTGCATACCTGACATACATAACTTCGTTCAGTTACGAGTCTTATCTGTACGTCCTTGGTTAACAGAATCAATTGAAAATTTCTTCAATATTCTTGAATGGTCTTTGATAAGCATAATTGCAGTTTGTTTCAATTCATACGTCGTAATATAGTCTTTCAATTACTCAAGGGGTCGTTGTCTTCAGGGCAGTAGCCATTTGACTTTTCATCTTGGATTTGAACGTATTTCAGGACAGCGAATTTAACTGTTCATGAGTCTTGATATGTCATATCGCCAGCAGACTGTATTATTGGCGAACACGTCATTGTCAGTAGGTAAATTGAATCTATCTTTGCTGTACAAATTTTGACGGAGGATAATTACCCTTTTTCAAAGGTTAGGTTTTCAGAGCCTATATATATCACGATTGTGGCCAGAGTATTTCACATTCTCACATTATGGAAGAAACATATCGAACTTTTCTTTACACCATAAAATTCGTTGGTCTACTTGGTAGTCATTCTCTTGGTAGAAATCCAAAGTTCATGGCTACGGCGGTGGATTTAGGAAGGGAATTGGTAAGGCGAAAAATTAGACTTACCTATGGAGGAGGCAACGTTGGCCTTCAAGGAGCTGTTGCTTCAACAGTCTATACCAATGGTGGTATAGTTAGAGGCTTCATACCAGGGTA